GTATAATTCTGTTTACAAAGATAGGCCAATCAAAACAGAGAGAAATGTTAATCTCACGAAGCTTCAAGACACTGCAGGACAAGCTCTTTTGAACTACATCAAAGCTCATCATTGGCTTTATTTCACTAGACTTGGTAAAGGCATGTATTGTCCAGATATGATTAGCTATTTCTATGCTAATATCCGTGAAGTTCATAACTCCCACTTCATTGTATCATTATTTGGAGTTGATTATACAGTTGATGAGCAAGATATTATATCTATTCTTGGCCTTCCAGAACACCGTCAGTTGGCAGGACATACTCTGTCTTTGACAGATTCAGGACCTTCTATTTCTCGGATTGTTCCAAAGATATGTGTGCCGAACTCAACCGTAAATCAGGATATAATCCCAGCCCGATTTCTGACCGATGAAGCTGCGTTCTTTCACTTGTTTGCTATGGCAAATCTGGGCTACTTCGGGAAGAAGGATGAGTTATTTTGCTGCATTACTCTATTGTGCAGCTTATCATTACTCATTACAAGAAAATTTCACGTAAGTACTTTTCTCCCTTTCCGATGATCATCATAGAAATTCTGAAAAAGAAGAATGTGCCGATTCCTCCAAGGGCTAATCATAAGCCTATCATGACTGAGTTAGACCCTCGTACTTTGGACAAGTCAAAAACTGCTCGGGAGAATGCTAAAAGGGCACGGAGATCTATTGATGAGGGGTAGTCACAAATTTCAGAAACTTCTCAGCTATTTGTTTCAAAGGGAGTTTTCATGAAAGCTGATGCCAACCTCATGTATTCCCATCTTCTTCAGCATCAAAACTCATTATTTGAAAAGATGATGGTTAAGATTCGAGATCTCAAACTTCAGGTAGCTTAACTGAGAGGACAACCATCTGGGGTTCCGAAGGAGGATGTCTACCAGCCTGTGCCTCCAGATCCGTCTCTGCAAGCTGACGATGAGGGAGATGATGAAGATGGGGCTGAGTTTACAGCTGAGGATGAAGAGGATGAGGATGGAGAAGAGAGTGGTGAAGACTAGAGATGATGTTACCTATCTCTGAGTGGTTGAGGAGACATGATGCTACTTTTATTGATTATTTCTCATGCATCATGACATCATGTTTTGTTTAATTAGTGCACCACTTGTCTATGTTTTTGGATATTCTGCGAATATGCTTTCCTAGACTTTCTTATGCTTATCTGAATTGTGCTTTAATTGACTTCTTTGACTTGGTATTTACTGTTCTCCCATTCTTTTCACTCCTTTGTTAATTTGTTACAAAAAGGGGGAGTCTACCTGTGAATGTCCTGTGAATGTGAGGGGGAGATCAAATGGAAAATTGAATATTCATTTAAGGGGGAGTTTTATAAATTTATTTGTTAAACTTCACTGGTAGTTGTTGCTTGACAGTGTGCAGGAAACAGGTTAAATGTTGCATCTAAGAAGAACAGTGTTCCTATTCTAGTTTTTTCCTTCAAGCAAATAATGTAATTTACTTTTCTGCTTTGGGTAGATTTCAAAATTATTTTTAGGGTTTTGTCACGAAATTGCCAAAGGGGGAGATTGTGAGATATTATTTATTTTTGGCAATTATCATTGACATAACAAGTCCAAGTTGAATTGTAATTGTAATAGTTGTTTTACAAGTCATTGAGGTCAACACGGACTACAGAATCAGGAAAGATTTGAATTTTCCATACTTGAAGAGTTTGTGATGAAAGAGGATAAGGACACTACATTAAAAAGGAATATGAACAAGGTTGGAAGTTCTACACTTTCCATGTTAGTCTACAATTTCTGTAGGATGAAACAAGGCTAGAAGAATTCGAGCTTTCAAAACTGCCAACCTTGAACCGGTTCAGCTTCCTTGAACCGGTTCAAGGTGTTCAAGTTTGATACACTGCCAAACTTGAACCGGTTCAGCTTCCTTGAACAGGTTCAAGATGTCCTGTTTGCAATACAATTGTAGTTTCCTTCTTCTGATTTATTTCCAAGTTAGTATAGAATTGTACCAAATCCTATGCACGAAATTTACCTTATTTTCAGAGGGATTAGGTCATTTTATACTCTATATAAACCATGTCATATACATTGGTTTAGTTACGACTTTTGTTATACAGATTCTTCATCATTAAAAGCTTTAGGAAGTTTCTTTCTTTCAGAAAATTAAAGTTGAGTTTTCTATAGTCTTCCTAGAACATACACATATTTACCTAGATAGGTTAGAATCGTGGAGTTCGAATCCTGATCGTGATCATACAGTTGTATCAATATCGATCAGACGAAGCAGATCTTCTTCTAAATCATTTAGACAGTTGAAGAACAGAGGTAAATGCAATCACACTTTTGAAAGGGTTGGAGCATTCGTGGAGTGTTGTCTGATCTACCTGCTACTCTTCTACAAATATCAAGCATCAGTGTGAGATCAAGTTATTGTTGGATGAGGAGTCGCAAAGCCAGAGGATCGTCAGCGGTTGGTGTAGTGTAGAACGATAGGGTATGAGCTAGAGTCAAAGTTCGGTATACTTTGTTTCAAGCATAGTGGATTGGTTTACTTTGGACTGCACAGTCCACAAGGTTTTTCCCATAACAGTTGACGTATTTCATCAACTGGGGTTTCCTCGCTAAAATCCTGGTGTCATCTCTAACTTTATACTCTGCATTATTTTATCTGCATGTGATTAACTGTTTAATTGTTAAAACATAAAATAAGCAAAGTTGTTAAGGACACAGATCTGTTTTATAAAATAAACAAAAACTTTCTAAGTAATTTCCGCTGCGTATGACTCACACTGACAAGCCACAGGACCTGCACCAGATTTCTAAGGTTCAAATGGGATTTTGAGTGCTTAAATGGCAATTTTTGGAAAAAAAAAAAATTTGTGAAATGACACCCCCCCCCCCCCCCCCCCCCCCCGGGCCGCCCAAATCATATTTTCTAAGTGACTATGTCACAAGAAGTTCTTATTTTTCAAGTGAAATACCCAAAATACTCAAATAGTCAATCTTTACTCATTAAAACACTCTTCTTGATGTCAAAGGGAACTCGAATAAGTTTAACTCAAAAATCTTATTTTCTTTCAAAGATTCAATCTTTAATCATTAAAAAGGTCTAGTAACATAAAAGGTACCTTAATTGAGGTATTTTCATTCAAAGATTCAATCTTTACTCATTAAAACACTATTCGCAACTTCAAATGGTACTCGAATAAGTTTAATTCAAAACTCTCATTTTCTTTCAAAGATTCAATCTTTAAACATTAAAAAGGACTACTGACATAATAGGTACCTTGATTGAAGTATTTTCATTCAAAGATTCAATATTTACTCAATAAAAAACTAACGTGACTTTAAAGAAAACTTGAATAAGTTTAACTAAAAACTCTCATTTTCTTTTAAAAATTCAATCTTTTTATACTAAAAATGTCTAGTGACTTAAAAGGTATCTTGATTGAGGTATTTTCATTCAAAGATTCAATCTTTACTCATTAAAACACTATTCGTGATGTCAAAGGAAACTCAAATAAGTCTAACTCAAAACTCTCATTTTCTTTCAAAGATTCAATCTTTAAACAGAAAATATTGAGGTATTTGCATATAAAGATTCAATTTTTACTTATTAAAACATTCTTTGCGACTTCATAGGGAGCTCGAATAAGTTTAACTCAAAACCCTCATTTTCTTTCAAAGATTCAAACATTATACATTAAAAAAGGTTAATGACTTAAAAGGTAACTTAATTAAGGTATTTTCATACAAACATTCAATCTTTACTCATTAAAACACTCTTTGCAACTTCATAGGGAACTTGAATAAGTTTAACTCAAAACTTGCATTTTCTATCAAACATTTAATCTTTATACATTAAAAAGGTGTAGTGACATAATAGGTACCTTGATTGAGGTATTTTCATTCAAAGATTCAATTTTTACTCATTCAAATACTCTTGGTCTAGTGACATAATATGTATCTTTTTTGAAGGATTTTCATACAAAGATTCAATTTTTACTCATTAAAACACTCTTCGCTACTTCATAGGGAACTTGAATAAGTTTAACTCAAAACTATCATTTTTTTTTTCAAAGATTCAATCTTTATATATTAAAAAGGTCCAATGAGATAATAAGTACTTTGATTGAGGTATTTCATTCAAATATTCAATCTTTGCTTATTAAAATATTTTTCGTGACATCAGAGAGAACTCGAATAAGTTAAACTCAAAACTCTTATTTTCTTTCAAAGATTCAATCTTTATACATTAAAAAGGTCTAGTGACAGATTCAAAGAATCAATCTTTACTCGTTAAAACACTCTTTGTGATGTCAAGGGGAACTCGAACAAGTTTAACTCAAAACTCTCATTTTCTTAAAAGATTTAATCTTTATACATTAAAAAAAGTTTAGTGACATAATTGGTACCTTGATTGAGGTATTTTCACTACAACAATTATGCATCTCACCAGGGCTGAAAAACGTTGGTGAAAGCCTAAAAAAGCACTAGTAATTCAAGTACCATCGTTTTACCAACGTTCATAGAAAACCGCTAGTGATTCCAGCATCAATATTCCTTACCAGCGTTCTTTAAAAAGCACTGGTAAAGACTTAATACCAGTTTTCTTTAAAGAGCGCTGGTATTAAGTCTTTATCAGCGCTCTTTTAGTCATCGCTGGTATTAACCCTTTACCAGCGCTCATTCTCTTTTAATGAGCGCCGGTATTTAGTCTTTACCAGCACTCATGATTACCAAGGGTTTTTTTTTTTTTTTTTTTTTATTTATAAAACATGTTTATATATAAAAACAATTACCATCCAAATGTGTAATGGTAATGGATTTCGGCAACCACAAGTTAAGCTGACAATATGAAAATACCATCCAAATTGTCTACTAATAGATAATGCTGTAGTGAACACCTACATTTGTTGAATAATAAAAATAAATAATATAAATTATAATCAATAAGACAGTAACTCTGTAATAATTATAGAAACTTGGTTTAAACAATATTTTGAAAAAGAAATTAATAGTGTCTCATAATTTAATTCTAGTAATGTACAAGCATTTCACAAGGATTTGTTTCACAATCACAAAATAAACTAGGCCAATGTGGTATAACCTCTCTTCAATAATGGTAACAATGGTAGAATTCTTTGAACACCGGCACTGGAGGAGGTGAAAGGCTTATCTTACCCAGTCCCTACACAATGACAGTCATTCATCTCGAACTGTTGACACCGGGCATTCGGCCACTGCCTTTTTCTAGACATGACTTTTTCAATGTACAACAATAATTATCATGCAGCATCTTCTTCCTGAAATTTTGTTGCTGTCATGCCTCAAGAGTTCCTACACATTGTACTCGTAGAGATGAGACACTTCCATGGTTCAAAGGAAACAGCAATATATAACAAACAATTAAATTATCATACTAACAGCACAGTTTTGAAGCAAGAATAACATTTTATCCTATCCTTAAACCTTGTTTTCCCCTTTTTCTTCTTTACTAATCAGAAAAACTCAGTGAAATACAAGGAAAGAGGTCAAACATCCGACCTTGTTTGTAAACTAATACCAACAAATCTAAGACCGTTTTCTAATAGGAAATGAACTAATTTAAAAGGAAGAAACATACACTATGGGGGAGGTAGCTTAAAGTGAATTTTAAAGATATAGACAACATAACCTATGCTCAAACAATGTCAAAGAATTATTAGAAATCTATCCCAACTTGAAGAGCACATTCCACCAAGTAACCTTGGTACACAACGTTCATTCTTATTCTTATTCTCTACTAATACAATGAAAATAATTAGTTGATATCGGGTCAACTTCTATCACTACCAAAATTAAATTAAAGAAAAAAAAAATAGAGAAGGAATCCAGAAGAGCGTCAACCCCCTCAAATCATGGTTCAAAGGAAACAGTGATGTATAACAAACAATTAAATTATATACCAAAAGCAAAGCTTTGAAGCAAGAATAACATTTCATCCTATCCTTAAACCTTGTTTTCCTCCTCTTCTTTTTTTATTCATTACCAATCCGAAACTGAGGGAAATTCAAGGAAAGAGGTCAAACATCCGAAATTATCTACATGGTTTGGAAACTCATACCCACAAATCTTAAAGACCATTTTCTAATAAGAAATGAACTAATTTCAAAAGAAGAAACATACAATGTGGAGGAGGTAACTTTAAGTGAATTTTAAAGATATAAAAAACATAACTGGTGCTCAGACAATGTCAAAGAGAGATGTATTAGAAAACTATCCTAACATGGAAAGTACATTCCACTGAATAACCTTGGAACACAATTGTTTATTCTTTATTCTTAATCTATACAAATACAATGAAAATAATTAGGTGATATTGGGTCAACTTTTATCACTTTCAAAAAAATGAAAAAATGAAAAAAGAGTAACATCAAGCCCCTTAAATCATATCAAGTTGTCAACTTGCATGAATGTCATATGATTGCCGAGTAGATTTGGTATTCACTTAGCACAAAAACCTAAAACTAAAAGTGAGCACAAGTTCTTTTAGTACAGGTGATAAAGAAAACTAACTACACAGCCAACTCTTCACAAGAGACATTATTTGAACAGACTGAATTCGCTCTTAGATCTTGCAAACTTTAAAATGGATTCTTTTATTTGTTATCTTCTTTGCTACACTAGGTGGCCTTAAGAAGTTTTGAGTCAAAAGTAATCCTTGAAAATCAATGATTTTGCCAACAGACCATACGCATGATTTTGAAATATGTTCCATTTGAAAATGTTTGTAACAGAACAATGCATTTTTATGCTCCGAAATGATCTTACATCAACAGTTTAATTTTATACAACATTATGACAATTTTTTTTTTTTGTACATAATTGCATTTGCAAGAACCATACCTATATAATATAAGTTATATTGAACATGGCTAGGATAACAATTGTTATATTCACCATTGTCCAAAGACAGAAATATATATACATTCAATTTACTTAATGATCAAGATCCCATGTAAGCTTATTCTCATTTTCAAAAACACCCAAGGGATAAAGTCATTAAATTGGCACAGCAATTAGTGCAAAGCTCTTATGAATTACAACAGTTGTTTTTCTTATTATTGATTAGCTCTAGATATCACGCATCAACATTTTGTTCAATTACCCATACACCTCCTGGATCAGGTGTGGATAGCTTGGTTTGGGCTCCCTCTAATAAACCATTTGCTGTTAAGAATGCTTACGATAGCTGCACAAATCACCATAGGCTTTGGGACTATTATAGAGCTGTTTGGTCCTCTAAAGGTATTCCAAAACATTGCTTTATCCCATAGCATGATTCTTTATAGAATGTAACTTGCGTATTTCTAGCCTTATGCCCTTTTGCTAAATCACTGACACCAAAAATACATACATACATATATATATACACATAGATATAGATATATATTCACATAAAGATATACACGATGATCAAAACACTGAAAAATATAAGTTGGACATGAGGCAGGGAAGACAAAGATACCATGTTGAAAGGACATTAGAAGTATTCCAGCTTAAAAACTCATGAATGCAAGATGTAATTATAAGAAAAATAATAAAGAAGAATATAAAATAGTATAGAATGAAGTCATATATGAATCCCTCACCAGTTCCTGACGAAGCCTGTTACTTTGTTGAATTGCAGTAGCCTTCTCCTCCATCAAGAATTGAAATCAGAGATCTTCCCTGAAATTAAACCAGAAGTTCTATTTTAGGCAAATTAACATAAGCTACTAAAAGTTCATACACAAGCTACTAATAGCAATTGCAGTGGAACTCCAAGCATATGGACCCTGATAGAAATCCAACTTCGCTTCAAGTTGGATTTGAGCAAAATACTGGCTGAATATGTAAAGAACGTAGGAAGATATATATATATATATATATATATATATATTCGTCGAAAGGCACAAAGGAAGAAATATACAATAACACACACAATTAATCAGTTAAAATTTAAATTTTTTATATGTTCAATAAGCAGCAACAATTAATGGGTAAAAATTTAATCCAAATAATAATAATGCAAGTTATTCTTTTAAGAGACGGAGCACAAAATCTTCTTTATTTATTTATTTAAATATGAAATATGTATGTTTGAATGTATATACAATAGCAAAATTGTGACAAAATTAAACCAAAAGTACTTAAATATGAAATACGTATATTTGAATGTATATACAATAACACAGTTACAACAAAATAAAAGCAAAAGTAATTAAATATGAAATCAATATAGAACACATCAAAATTTAACCACAAATTGACATTTTCATTGCAAGATCAGTTTAGACTGAGAAGAAGGCTTTAATCACTCACTAAAAACATTCATCCATTCAACATAAATATATCCCTTTTAACAGATGGGAAAAGAAATCAAAAAATAAAACACAATTAATTAAATATGAAATATGGATGTCTCTATGTATACACAATAGCACAGTTGCAACAAAATGAAAGCAAAAGTAATTAAATATCAAATCAAGATAGAGCACATAAAAATTAATCCAGAAATTAACCTTGTCATTGCAAGATCAACTTAACTGAGAAAAAGGGTTGAATCACACACACCCACCCACACACATATATCCAAAAAAGCAAACACATTAATTGATGGATAAACAGACAGAAATTCCGAAAAAAGAATCAATTAAATCAAAGGATTAATGGATAGAATTATAAACCCAAAACCCCTAATATATATATATATATATATCAAAGAGGGATGTATCAAATTGTACTTGCATGTTCCAGCATCACCATGTACCTTAAAAAACAATATACATAAACCTAGACTCTAATGCAGCAACCCACAAACATCCCAGACCAAATGAATCTCTTTCCTCTCTCTCTGCAATTCCATAAGAATCTTAAAAACAAGTCCATCAAACAAAAAAAATTTGTATGTTAATTTTCTCCGTGACGAAATTTGCAATAATATAACAAATAGGAAATTCTCGGGTTGATAACAAACCAATTCTAGACCAACTTTTGCATATAAATATTGATTGGAACGAGACCAAAAATTCAGAAGACAGAAAATCTTACCTGATTTGCGATTCTGTTTCACTTATCAGTTAGGTGATGTTAGTGTTGTGTTGAGAGAGAGAGCGCGCACCCTAGGCTTGTTGAGGCATGTAGGGCTGGGACGAATGGTGATACGCACAGAAAATGATACATATATACATACATGTATATAAACACACTCACACACCCACACCCACGTGACCCACCACTTCGCCCACCAAAAAGCTATAGCCTTGGTGGGAAAAATAACTTTTCTTAACAATGGAAATGAACATAACCATCACTTTCAATGAAACAATATCAATCAAGTAAACAATAACTTGAATGTACATACTTATAATAACACACACACATGTATATAGTATGAACATACTTGAAATCCATTGGAAGATACAAGAAGTCAAAAGCTGACACAGTCTGTTCTTCAGTTTCTTCATGAGCGTTAAACTTGTTGATCGTTTCATTCTCTGATATACAATGTTGGTCTAGGAATTTCAACAACAGTCGATGACTGCAATCAAAGCCCCAAAAATGAAGAAAAAAAAAATTAATCAGAATCAAAACAACATTGTATGTCAGAGAATGAAAAGATGAATCAAGAACCTCATGTCCTTCCCATTCACAAACCCTAACTCGGCCTGCTGCCTGCCATCATCACTTCCACCACATCCTTCTCTCCTTCCTCCGACTTTCCTCCAAAATCCAATTCTTTGAAACCCTTTCCTAGTAGGCATCCTCTTCAAAAATTGAAATCCCTAACCTGTTAGTAGGCATCTTCATCAAAAATTGAACTCCTCTGCCCAACTTTAACACCAAAATCGAATAGATGGGTCATGTATTCATCAAAAAAAAAAAAAAAAAAAAAAAAAACAGGAATCGATTAATCAACAGATCAATACACAAAAACACACAGCGGCTGTTGAGAGACAGCTGCTGAAGCTTATGAACGGCGAACCCGAATTGGAACAGCGGGCGATGGAAACTGAAAGATATGGGCTTTGATTTTTTGAACAATCTGGTATATCAGATATGGGTTTTGATCAAGTAATATAGGTTTTGAACTTTTGATTCTTGCAGACAGATAGATAAACTGAAATATATGGGTTTTGAACTTTTGATTCTTGTAGATTTTCTAGTCAGCAGTTGCAGAGAGAGAGAGGGGGGCAAGTTCAGAGTTGAGAAAAGAGAATAGAGATGGAGGCGACTGGGGAGTTGCAGAGAGAGAGAGGGGGGGTAAGTTCAGAGTTGAGACCGAGAATAGAGATGGAGGCGATTGGGGAGGCTGAAGAGAAACCTAAGGCTCGGATGAGATTGGTAAATTTAGAAACAAAATAGTGAAATGATATGCCAAATTTTCGCACTTAGCAGTGTTTCTTTAACGAAACTAGTACACAACTCAAGCGCTCTTGAAAAGTACGCAAGTACGGTGGTGAAGAGTATAATTGTCATTTTCTTTCAAAGATTTAATCTTTATACATTAAAAAATTTTAAGGTAAAAGATACATATTGAAAATCTAGATACATTAGAAAATTTCAGTAATATAATAGGTACATTGATTGAGATATTTTCATTCAAAGATTTAATCTTTACTTATTTAAATATTCTTTATGATATCAAAGGTAAGTCGAATACGTTTAACTAAAAATTCTCATTTTCTTTCTAAGATTCAATCTTTATACATTAAAAAATTCTAGTGACATAATTGGTGCATTGATTGAGATATTTTCATTCAAAGATTTAATTTTTACTTATTTAGACACTCTTTATGACATCAAAGTTAACTCAAATAAGTTTAACTCAAAACTCTCATTTTCTTTCAAAGATTCAATCTTTATACATTAAAAAAGTCTAGTGATATAATAAGTATCTTGAATGAAGTATTGTCATATAAAAATTCAATTTTTACTTGTTAAAACACTCTTTATGACCTCAATGAGGTATTTTTATACAAAAATTCAATCGAATAAGTTTAACTTATAAGGTTTTATACATTTAAAAATTCTAGTGACATAATAGGTACATTAATTAAGTTATTTTCATTCAAAGATTCAATCTTTACTCATTTAAATACTCTTCATGACGTCAAAGTTAACTCGAATAAGTTTAACTTAAAACTCTCATCTTCTTTTAAAGATTCAATCTTTATACATTAAAAAGGTCTAGTGACATAATAAGTATCTTGAATGAGGTATTTTCATATAAAAAATCAATCTTTACTCATTAAAACACTCTTCGTGACTATATTAAGAATTCGAATAAGTTTAACTCAAAACTCTTATTTTCTTTCAAAGATTCAATCGTTATACATTAAAAAAGATCCATGATATAATATGTACTTTGATTGAGATATTTTCGTTCAAAGATTTAGTTTTTACTCATTAAAACACTCTTCGTGACGTCAAAGAAAACTCGATTAAGTTTAACTAAAAACTCTCATTTTCTTCCAAAGATTCAATCTTTGTACATTAAAACGGTCTAGTGACATAATAGGTACCCTAATTGAGATATTTTCATTCAAATATTCAATCTTTATTCATTAAAAAACTCTTTGCAACTTCAATGGAAACTTGAATAAGTTTAATTCAAAACTCCCATTTTTTTTCAAATATTCAATCTTTATACATTAAAAAGGTTTAGTGACATAATAGGTACCTTGATTGAGGTATTTTAATTCAAAGATTCAATCTTTACTCATTAAAACACTCTTCATGACGTCAAAGGGAACTCGAATAAGCTTAATTCAAAACTCTCATTTTCTTTCTTAGATTCAATCTTTTTATATTAAAAAGGTCTAGTGACATAATAGGTACCATAATTGAGATATTTTTATTCTAAGATTCAACCATTAATCATTAAAACACTCTTCGCGACTTCATAGGAAACTCGAATAAGTTTAACTCAAAACTCTCATTTTCTTTCAAAAATTAAATCTTTATACATTAAAAAGTATAGCAACATAATAGGTACGTTGATCGAAGTATTTTCATTCAAAGATTCAATAATTACTCATTAAAACACTTTTCACGACTTCATAAGAAACTCGAATAAGTTTAACTCAAAACTCTTATTTTCTTTCAAAGATTCAATCTTTATATATCAAAAAGGTCTAGTGACATAATAGGTACCTTAATTAAGATATTTTCATTCAAAGGTTAAATCTTTACTCATTAAAACACTTTTTGCGACTTTGTAAGGAACTCGAATAAGTTTAACTAAAAACTCTCATTTCTTTCAAAAATTCAATTTTTATACATTAAAAAGGTCTAGAGACATAATATCTACCTTGATTGAGGTTTTTTCATTTAAAGATTTAATATTTACTCATTAAAACACACTTCGTGACATCAAAGAAAACTCGAATAACTTTATCTAAAAACTCTAACTTTCTTTCAAATATTCAATCTTTATATATTAAAAAGGTCTACTGACATAATAGGTACCTTTATTGAGGTATTTTCATTCAAAGATTCAATCTTTATTCATTAAAACACTTTTCGTGATTTTATAGGGAACTCGAATAAGTTTAATTCAAAACTCTCATTTTCTTTCAAAAATTCAATCTTTATACATTAAAAAGGTCTAGTGATAGAATAGGTACCTTGATTGAGTTATTTTCATTCAAAAATTTAATCTTTACCCATTAAAACACTATTCATGGCGTCAAAGAAAACTCGAATAAGTTCAACTAAAAACTTTCATTTTCTTTTAAATATTCAATCTTTATACGTTAAAAAGGTCCCGTGAAATAATAGATACATTGATTGAGGTATTTTCATTCAAAGATTCAATCATTACTCAATAAAACACTCTTCGTAACGTCAATGGGAATTCAAATAAGTTTTACTCAAAATTCTCATTTTCTTTCAAAGGTTTAAACTTTATACATTAAAAAGGGTTAATGACTTAAAAGGTACATTGATTGAGATATTTTCATACAAAGATTCAATCTTGATTCATTAAAACAGTGTTAGCGACTTCATAAGAAACTCGAATAAGTTTATCTTAAAACTCTTATTTTGTGATGGCCCAAGTTTTGTAAACCTGGTGTGTTAGTGATGACCAAAAGATGACCCGATAATGGAATACCCGAAATGCCCCTGTAACAGAATAGGGTCAAACAAAAAAATATGCAACTTTAGGTTTTTGTTTCATTAAGGAAGGTATTGTTTGCCAAAGTGAGCATGCAAGTGTATGTAATATGATAAAATAGATGTGCTAAAATGGCCTATGGCCTCATTACAATACATTTACAACATTTGACATATCAAACCTCCAAGTTAGAAAAATTACATTTCATAGACAAATCATGAACATGCTAACACTTTCATGTGAACAAGAATGCTTCTAAAGAAGCTCAACTCAGCAAATCACCCAAGCAATTGCAATCTCTAATCTTGTATCCTGTACTTGAAATATGCCCCAGTATCGTAGGGGTGAGTAACATAAAGTTACTCGTAGGAAATGAGCATGCATCGACCTACGTTTTACAAGTTTGCATGATTTAATCATTGTGGTTCATTCCACCTAACGTCTATGTCAAAGGTGAGACTCAGGGAGCATCCTAACTACCTAAGATCATTTCTAGCATAAAACACATCCTTTATGCAATTTCAACAACACAAGAGCATGCTACACATAGCAACAAGATATAACATGCTTACACAAAGCAACTAGTTAGAAACATGCTTACACAAAGCAACCAGATAGAAACATGCTTACACAAAGTAACAAGATATAGATTCTCAAAGTTATCAACTTGAAATCTAAATGCTAAATCAACTAAATATAGCAATTTAGTATGGATGTACTTAACAACATCAAATCGCCAATAGCCAAAACCACAGTCACAATATAAACATGATTGATAACTTGGAATTGAATGTGAAAACAAATAGTGAAAGACTTGGATATCACGTCTCAGACAAAACCAAGAACAAATTGGTTATTCCGGGCATTAACCCGCTTGGAAGACCACCTTAGTGCGCACTATCTCAATTGGGGAGAACTCATACCTCCCGCACTAAAGCCGAACTTTAGCAGTATCACAGTAACAACGTCCCAAGACTCCAAAATAATCAAATAAGTTCACAATTTATACGTAATTTATATAATGCACTAAGTCACCTTCGATGCACAAGTAGATTGTATCCACACAACACATGCTCTAAATCCACAACTACTATAAGATGACAATGTCGAATCTTTAGAGCGCGATTCGTTACGCGCTATAATAACATCACATGTCGAATCTTCAGAGTGCGATTCGTTACGCGTTCTAACAATATAATCCAATATTGAAACATAACTCATAAATCCATTATAAGTCAAAAGTCATGCTTTAAACATACTATCAATGTCAAATACATGAGTTAATCAATAATACAATAGAAACAGAATTTAATCAATAAATTAATTAAATTCCCTAGGTTTCAAATCTCAATCAAATGGCCTCCAATCAATACATGATAAACAATATAACATGATCATTACATACACCACATCAAAACTCGATTTAAGCCATAGGAACAATAAAGTGGAATTTAATTAAATCATGATAATCAAATCCCTAACTTCTAAAACAACATCAAATGGTTCCAAATTAACATATGCTAGAACATAAGTCATAGTTATCACAAATATCAAGTTAAACACTTAATTAGGCCAATGAAACCCTTAATTAGATTTTAATTAAAATATCTAGATTTTCATACTTGTCCAAATACTCTCAAATTAAAGTATGTTAAACAACATGCCAAGACATAATTTAAAAGCATATCACAAGTCAATTTCATGCAAGGTACGGCCATGGGATTTAATCTTTCACAAAAAATAAATATTAAATAAAATATGCAATTTTTTTTCAATCAATAGCAATTTAATATATGTTAACAAACATATTAAAACATGATTTTCTAGCATGCCACAATTCAAATCAAAGTTATATATCATCATGAATTTTAAATCTTATACAAAGAAATAAAAATTACTAACTTTCTAAATTTGATACAAGGCATACATATAAGTTGTATAATCATGAGAAATACTGAATACAACACATATAAAATTCTAAAACATTTCCTACCTCAATTTGAGATGAAAATCTCAAAAGCCATCAAAATGGAACGGCTCCGAATCCGACGAAACTACTAGGTTTTGTCGGGGACAACGCCGTGAACATAACCCCCATGAAAGCCCCATCAAAATCATAACTTGACCTCAAAAATAAACTCAAGAAATGGTCAAAACTGAATTCTAATAAGGGGGAAAGGTAGAGCACGGCGAGGGGAACAATAAACGTTAAGGTCGAAGACTTTCCATCAAGAAAAAGTGAACCAAAAGAGGAGAGAGAAGATGGCAGCATCCCTTGGGCTGCCATGGGAGCTCTAGGTCGTGCATGAAGAGGGGAGAAG